AACCTCCCCTTCTAATATCCATACATTATCCAGCAAATAAGTAATGAGAATACTCAAACCTATCAGGTAGAAGTTGTCATCTTGATCTAATACCAAATTCTTGTAACTAACATACATGGAAATGTCTAGCAACTAGAAGGGAGAATTAACAATCTGATCTTGAGAGTTAAAGGTTATAGTAAAGTTTTAATGGTTTGCTTGAATGGATAAAGTGTCCATTCAGCCCCCTATTCATTCTAAATATATTTGTTGTATCCGTTTGGGTTTTACAGTAATGGGAACTGCCCTTTATTTATTTCCTTGGCTGTCTTTGTGGTTGTTTTTGTTGGTATTGGTTTCATAAACAGTTTTCATCATTAACTACCACCCAAAATTTTACAGAATTATGAATTTAAAGTATTTTGCTCTCCTTCTTTTTGATCCCCACTCAGCTTCTTAACAAATGTAATTAAAGAAGTGCACTGAGTCATTTGTTTATTTGCAGACTGAGCGAGAGAAGTCAGCTAAAGATTTGGCTGTCATAGACTCATCTGAGTCTTCTTCTCCTGGAAATCAAACTCCCATTGGTGTAAAACGCAAGTCAACAGGTACAACACAGCTAGGAACAGCATATAAATTAAGTGTAGTGGATGCTAACTTTTGACATTTGAATAGCCTGCTTTTAGCCCAAAGGAAACAGCAAAAACTGCTTTTGGTGAGATAGGAAAACATTAAAATGGAAAGGAGAAAATTAAAGGAATCAGTGCATTTTTGGATTAAGATGATTAAACCACTGGAAACAACAAATGTAAAATTTTAAGCTTAATTTTTCATAATGGAACAATTATAACTTTCACTCCCTGGATCAGAATTCTAATTCTTCCATCTAGTTACCATACCTTTCCTTTTTGCCTGGTCATGAGAATTTGAAATTGTATCATAAAATATCCCAATCATGTTAACAATCTCATATATCTCACTGCCTGTCTGCTTGACAGTGTTTTGAAATTGTAGGGAGAATGTGTTAAATGATCAGTTATTGGTCAAGAAGGGTTAGCCCTTTGCATCTCAATATTGGTATGCATATTCTCCTCCCTTTTTTCTTTACATTTCCTCTGGTACTGACAAATAGAACTTATGGACAAATAAGCTTCTTTACTCGGTGATCAATTTCTTTATTCTCATTACCTTAACATTTGATTCAGTAGCAATATTGTAGGGAGAAATTGCATATTGATACTGGTCACTCTGAGGGCTTAGAGGGATGATTCATATGCATTTTAAGTCTAGGAAATCTCTTCCTTTGATTTTATCCTTGCATAAAATTGTTATCTTGTTTTTGACAAGGTAACATTTGAGACAAAAGAGGTTAAACTTTGAGCTAAAGATAAAACTGAACCACAGCACATTTTGTTGTTGTTGTGTACATGTAGCTGCAAGTCGAATGGTAGATCATTGGATAAACAATCAGAAGGCACAAAGTGGCACCAGTAGTCCTGTACGTGATCCACAACCATCACCGTCTCAATCACCAGCACCACCAAAGAAAAATCTCAAAATTGAAGCAGCCATGTTACAGGAGAAACCTCAGGCAACTGGTGGCCAGAAAACTTTATCAGAAAGGTATGCATCATATTTTCCATGATTTCCGAAAACCAACAAAAACTTAGGGCAATCATAATACTGTGGCTCACTACAGTTTAAAAACACTTTGAACTGATATACTTGTATTGCCGACTTAATGGCGCAGAACCGTGATGTTGGAAAAAAGTTAGTTATATCGTACTTTGTTTGTTCACTTTTTTCATCAGACCTTAACTTTTTGCTGTCAAAGTTTTGTTTTCCTGCATGTAGTGCATAAGTATCTAAAAAACCTGGAATAGTTGTCATTGAAAATTCTTAACAATGAGTAGCAAGATATGAATGTGAGGATTTTTCCTCCAAATTTTAATTTGAAATTTAAGTTTTCCGAGCTCAAAGGATTTCAAGTTTTTGGAGAAGATCCCATTCTTGACTAGCCTATACCAAGCTCTGAATGAAAGCGAGAGGAAACGGAGGGTGGGCAAACTAATAAAATCTAATTGAAAAATCTTACCGCCCTTACAACGACATCCTCTACCGCTTTTTGCCGCCTGCCCGTTCTTTCACTCGTCTCCATTCACTGAGAGCTTGGCGGAGGCAAATGTTTGTTGACAAGTGATAACGTCACAAGTGGAACAACCGCTTCATTTCAAATTTGATGTCTTGTGGTGTTCAAGTCAAGTAATTGGTTTAAAATAAAGCTGATTTTAAACCTCGTTTTGTTGGCCCAGGTTCGGTGGTCGCGGAGTTAAAGTCCATGTCACAAGTAAACCTAAAACAGCGGCAGTAAATCCACCCAAAGTTGAAGATGAACACACATTAAAGGTTAAGCTGCCTCAGGGATCCACTGAGCGGAGTAAGAAGCTTATTTCGAAGCAGAAACAAGCTGCAGCTTCGGCCGCAGGTAAACTTAAATGATTTTAATCCTAAAAAAGATATTGAACGAGCGTGCAAGCAGGAAAACATATCACATGTCTCCGGTACAATTCGCACTCCAACTTATTCCGCCGGATTACCCCACGGAATGTATTACCAATTGAGCTACAAACAGCTCGTGCACACATCGGATAACTAACGCACTACACTCTCGGACACATTTGTTGGGACACCTACTGACCCCCTCCCTTGTCCCTCGCAATGGTAGTCTGAAAGATGGCATAAGAACATTGACAATTAACACCATCGGCAGGGGGCGGGGGGAATGGCCAAAGAACATCACAGACGTCTTTCTGGAGACGCGTTCCTACCAATGAACGCGAGCTGGAGAGAGGTATGCGAGGAGTTTAGCACTGCCAGACCTCCGGTAGACCTTTCCGAAATGTCTTACCTCTTCCCGCGGGAAAGGAAACGCGCATTCTGCAGCACTAATTATAAGAGCCTGTTTGCAAGCTAATTTCGAATTATCGTGAGCAGCATTTTGAACAACGGTAGCATGTAATTTAATTCCTCGATCGTTCCATTGCAGTTAATAAAGCCAAGGTCATCAAGAGGCAGTCTGTATTTGATCGCTTGGGTAAAGAAAGTCCTCCCTTAGAGGTGGCCGTCAAGGAACCGGAGCAGAAGACTGAGGTTAAAGCCCTGAAACCCCTGAAAACAAGCATCACAGTTCAGTTAAAGGTATCACAGCTACTTTGCTTTTTTACCAACAAACCGGCTCTCTCGCTTCGGATTATTGTATCAAATTTTATTCATCGATTGATCGCTAACTTGAGCAGAGACCTCGCGGAACAAAGATATTGTACTACCTGATAGTTTGAAAACCAAAATTTGAGGACAAGACTCGAGTACTCCTTCTCCCTTCTGTACAGAGAATTATTTTACAGGCAATTTGATTCTTTGTCATTTGAAGTAACGCTGCGTGAAAAGATTACGAGATGGCGTTCTCTTCTCTCGGGCTTGACTGTTTCGTGTTCAATTCTTTCCATGCTTAAATTTCTTATTCCTAATAACAATGTAGAACTGACCAATCATTTTTCAAGATCAATACTTCAATATTATTCTCAGAAAGAAAAAAAAAGCCTCATTTGACGCTGATAATGACTTCTGCCAAGGTTGTGGAAACGTCAGTCACTCCTACAGACAGCAGTCTTTTTCAGGATGAATTCCACTTGGACGATCAGACTACTTGGTCAACTGTTGCTCTGGTTCGAACCATTGCATATTAAATACTTTTTATCTTTTCTCTAATTCAGGAAAAACCTCAGGGGTCTGTTTTCAGTCGTCTCGGTGGCCTGGCCTCACCCCCAGCCACAGCGACAGCAACGGTTCAAGCAGTAAATCCTAGAATTCGTCCCCCTTCCAGCGACGATTACCCAGAAGATATAGACTACACGAGTCACAGTGTGTTGAAACCGGTCAAACGCAAAGGTGTTCCAGCCAAGCCAGTTAAACCTGTTAAACCGGTTAAAAGATCCACGGGTCTCACTTCTGATGAAGATGCAGGAAAATCCGTATTTGCGCGTCTGGGCTCGAAAGTGTGAATTGCGTTTGTCGAGGGTTTTTGAAAACCGAGCGTTGAAAATTAAATAAATCAGATCTTCGAGGAAAAAGATGGGAATTCATTGAGATGGTGCTCAGTGTAAGGATGACCTTAATTTTCGAAGCAAGTGACTCACAATGAAGTATTTTTAAGAATGCTTTTATAACATTTGTAACTTTTTAATCCTTCTCCAAAAAAGGACGAAACTTGCAACGAAACAATTCAATGAAATATTGAAATTCTTAATTCGCCAGACACTGCAAAGGGCAGAGACGATGTTTTTATGATGTCAAACACGTTGTTCTTAGTGTTAAAATATGAAACTGAATAACTGAGACTCTGCAATGAGAAAAAATATATATTTGTACACGACACGATTAGTGTCTGATTTTGGATTTTGGACAACAGTGTTTAATTTTGGAATTTAGACATTAGTGTCCAATTTTGGAATTTGGACAGTGATGTCCAATTTTGGAATTTAGACACTAGTGTGGATTTTTGGACACTCTATGGGTCCGATTTTGGATGCCAAAGCCCAAATAATGAGAAACTGGTCGTTGGTTATTGTTACTCGACTTTGTTTGCGTACGAGACGTTCACACTCCTCATTCATATTAAAGTTTGGTCTTAAAACTTCAAGGCGTGGCATGTTCAAGTTACTTCTGCATATCTATTTCATCCTTTACACCGTAACATCAGTTTGCACATTCTCAACACTGTTCTTGTTATATTGCTAAGGCGCTGATAAGGAGAATTTGTTTACCAATCAAGAGCTTCTTTCGTTGGTGATCATTTCCTTTTATCTCGTGACCTTAATGTTGATTCAAGGGTGATATTGTTTGGAGAAGTTGGACGCTGGTCACTCTAAGCAGGTCAAAGGGCCAGACTGCACTCCTTTGTTTGTTCAACACTAAAACGCTACAGCCCAAATAACACTCCCAAAGAATCACAGGAAAAAAAGCACAATTCAAACGATAGAGTACTTTATTTCGGGTTCAGAATCCGACATCTCTGGAGAACATTAAAATTTACTTTATAAATAATCTGTCATACTCTTTGAAATTTTCTTGAAGTCAATTTTCAATTTTCATTCTGTCAGAGAAGTTGACTGGTTATAGTGCTCATTGAAATATTAGTTTCCCACAGATGTGAACACTTAATGTAAAAAAGAAAAAATTTTGATTCAAAGAGTAATTTTTGGTAGTCAGAAATTATGAACGGCTAGGAGTAGAGCTTGCTTGAGGCCTGGTGCCTTGTGGAGGAGGAGGCATAGGTCCACCAGGTCGAGGCAAGAACATTGGAGGAGGCACTGGGGAGAGAAAAACACACCGTAACATTGGTGAGGTGTAAAAGGTATCTCAACGACTGTAGTTAATTGAACTATGATAAACAGAACTCACTTGACCTCAAAGACTGGGAATTAATGACGTTGCTTATCGTAGATTGCGCGCGAATACTAAACAGCCAATAAAAGACACGGAAAGGATCTTTATCAGGAGTAATGGCCTCCAATCCTTGTCCAGAATTAAAAAAAAAA